AACTGCACTACCAAAGAAAATATTGTGTTTTGTGCAACAAATATTTTATAGAAGGGAATAAGATGGACATGAGTCCTTTGCACACTTAAGTATCCATAGAAGTAGTCTGTTGACTTTTTTTCTTTTGAAGGATGTAGCTAGGGAAACCTAATAAGAAACCCTGTCTTTAGCAGCTTTTCAGACAGGCACAGATAGACACACACATGAATTTAGACCAGAAATGCCAACCAGCATGAAAAACTCTGAGCCGTGGAGAAAGCCAGCATTAACACCACCACAAGGTCAGCAGCCTGGTGGCAGCTAGAACTCCTGTGACTGGACATATCTGAGGGGCAGCTCAAGCGAGACAGTCTTCTTAGGAACAAGGCTGGGAAGAATATTAGGTAACACCCCCCCTTGAGCAATGGTCACGCAGGAGAAGAGCTTGTTCAGCTCATCGTCGTTTCTCACGGCCAGCTGGATGTGCCTGGGCAGGATCCTGGCTTTCCTGTTTTCCCGTGCAGCGTTCCCTGCCAGCTCCAGGATCTCCGCGCTCAGGTACTCCAGCACCGCAGCCAGGTAGATGGCAGCACCAGGACCGATCCTGTCAGCATAGTTCCCTCTTTTAAGGAGCCTGTAGACACGACCCACGGGGAACTGCAGACCAGCCTTGGCTGATTTAGTTTTCTTTGGCACAGGGAGAAGCTTTGTAGTTTTCTTCCCATGTTCAGACATTCTGATGTCAATCTAGTATAAAAAGAGAAAGAATTAAAAAACCCCAAACCAAACAGACACAGAGACTGAGCATTTAAGTCCTTTCTTCCTCCTCATCTCACTGCCTTTCTAATTCCTTCACAAGTCAGTTTTCCCTCTCAGATGTTCATACTTCTGTCTGAAGGAGCAGATGGGTCAGGCTGCTGCTCTAAGAGAGTCTGACAAGTTTCCAGCCAAGAGGCATCTACAAGCTCAGTCAGAGCAGCAGGTCAGCCATCTGCTAGATTTCAAAACTTTGCAAGAGAGTAAGGTAGAACTTAGGAGCAAGGTCTTCTGACCCAGTATCAAAGGAGGACTACTGTTAAGGAGAAAGGTTAAGCAAACTAGGTTTCAAGATACAAGTCTTCAGAAACCCTGCAAGGAAGCTTCATTGAACTTACCCCTGGTAAGAACCTAAGCAGTTTCTGCAATGGTGAGACCTTATGAGAGCCAGAGCTAGAATTTCATATCTTTGTGTGTAGTAAGAACAACAGAAAAAAAAACTTCATATACTAGAAACCACTTCAAATGGATCTTCGTTCTCCAGAGATGAGAGGACCTATTACTGCAAGATAACAGGCCATAATCAAGAACAAGACTTACAGGAAGAAGAGAAGCTTTGTTTTACATCAGACACTGAAATTGCTCTGCTCAGCATCCTGTGTATCAGGCTACTACAAATGCAGAAGTACCATCTTCTTGTATGGTATTGCATCCATTCTATCAAGCCCAATCACTTATTGCTGACAAAGTCTCTGGTACTGAGTAGTACCAATTACTCTTCAACGCATAACACAAAGCAACCAGAAAACAAACACAGGGAAATTCTGCTCTTGTATATAGAATTGTTCTCAAGTTTTAATCATTAGTTGTTTTTAAGTAATGAGAAGCTGTATCCAGATGTGGGGAGGAACTAAATCAGATAGCAAATTGAAGTACCTAAAAATACAATAAAATGTTCTTTTAGGACATTTTTGTGGGCCTTAGAAAGATAAGGTTTAAAAAAACAGCCTACACAAGTAAATAAATGAAACAGATTAAAAGCCCCCTTAAGCAGCCTTATACAAAACACAGACCTTAACAAACCCATTATTTCACTCAGGAGTTTATCTACCACAAAGAAAGCATGCTGTCATTTCTTAAGAACAAACTCTCACCTGAAAACACTACTGCCTTAGCCTCTCTTCCAACAATCCCACAACTTCTGGCAAGAACTGCCCCCTTTTAAACTCCACAGTGGCAGCCATATCATTACCAGCTCTTGCATCCTTTAATGCCACCTGGGTAAGCAATGATTCCACCACTCAAAGTAAAAAACAATCAAGGTCCCAACACAAGATCAACTCAGTACAGACCCTGAGAGCATGAGAATTTGTCACTACTCCTTGTAGAGCTGCTTAGCACCTTGTTAGCTGATCTCCTCTGGAAACAAGCCTAATATTTACTGCCTCAGAGAACTGCAGTATCTCTGATTGGCAGTTAATTTATTACAGCTGGAAGGGGGCACACCTCACCTTGCTGCAGTCATCAGGAATTAAACCCAACAACCTGTACCGCTGTTCTTCGTGTTGCCAGTAGTAGCCAAGCTGCTTTGTGACCATGGGAAAGCTCAGGACCTCTGACATGAGGTTCTCTCTCTTCCAGGACTTGTCCCCATCTGTGACACAGTCCAGTTTTTTTCAAAGTCATGCATAGCTGTGTTGCAAGGCATAATATGTACTTTCTAGGGTCAAGGGTGGGGTGAAAGCTGAATAATTTTTTTCTTCAATACACGAGTGCTGGAAAGTTGAGCCCTGGCCCAACAGAAACTTTTGCTGAACAGCTGCGTTAGGAGACATCTACCCTCTGTTACTGTGAAGCCAGAGGGGTGAGTTCTCAGATCACTATGCTATCTGGTTAATTTACAAATGAGTTGAACTATTGGCTAAAAGAAAGCAAACAAGATAGTTCCTGATCAAAGAAATACTTAAAAAATTGACTTTTGAATTGGACCGGTACTTTACCACAAACTCTGTCTTTGGGTGTAAGTAGAGGTAGGGCCACACGGCTCACTCAGTGTCTTCTATCGTACAGGAGATGGCAGGTGAAGGCATTTCTAGAAGCTACTTGAGCACTGGCTGTGCCCTGCAGGGTCTGTTTGGTGTGGTGCAGAGCAGGCTCACAGCAGCAGCTTGCATCCAGGAGTGGCATGATGACGGACACGCAGTCCTCCAGATTAACAAAGGGTGCTGTAAGCACCATGCTTATAACTTGTCGTGGTTTAACCCCAGCCAGCAACTAAGCACCACGCAGCCGCTCACTCACTGCCCCCCCATCCGGTGGGATGGGGGAGAAAATCAGGAAAAGAAGTAAAACTCCTGGGTTGAGATAAGAACAATTTAATAGAACAGAAAAGAAGAAACTAATAATGATAATGATAGCACTAATAAAATGACAACAGTAGTAATAAAAGGATTGAAATGTACAAATGATGCGCAGGGCGATTGCTCACCACCCGCCGACCAACACCCAGCCAGTCCCCGAGCGGCGAATCCCTGCCCCCCCTTCCCAGTTCCTAAACTAGATGGGACGTCCCATGGTATGGAATACACTGTTGGCCAGTTTGGGTCAGGTGCCCTGGCTGGGCATGAGAAGCTGAAAAATCCTTGACTCTAGTCTAAACACTACTGAGCAACAACTGAAAACATCAGTGTTACCAACATTCTTCACATACTGCACTCAAAACATAGCACTGTACCAGCTACTAGGAAGACAGTTAACTATATCCCAGCTGAAACCAGGACAAACTGCATGAAATTAGTAACTTGCTTGAGTCTTCTACCATTACTGCAAACCTTTAGATTTTTGTGTGGCCCAAAGAAATAATGATTCCCAAGCCTGTTTTCCCTTGCCGTGGTCAAATGGAGGAAATAATTTGCATTTCAGGTGTTAATTTCTTATGTACCTCCTTTAAAGCTTCTTTTTTTTTTTTTCCACTTACAGGTGTAAACACCCAGCACAAGGCTAGTTACATATAGCACATCTTTACTTTATGCACAAAGCTTAAGATCTACTCTCACACATTTTTACTTCTCATTGCTACAGCATCCTCCACTTTGTCTCACGTCACTGGATTAATTGCAGGCCAGCCAAGACCTCATCAAATTGCACTTGAAACCCAGGTAGCATACAATGACTGTTCCAGCTGCCCACTACCCTGAAACCACGGTGTCTGCTCAGTCAAGTATTCCCTCTTCCCATTTCTGTGTAAGCACAGCTTGGAGTGCGTCATTAACTCAGCTGCATACAGCTCTTACGTCTGTCAGCATCATAACACCTGGTCAGCAGGCTCTGACGCCCTTGTGCCTTGAGGGGATGAAGGAGCTAAGTCAAACTCAGCAGGACAGCAGATCCTTTTCAGATAAAAAGTTAATGCTCCCACTAGGAGCATGTTTAGGAAGCTGGTCCTAACCAGCTCTTCTCCATGTGAGATGCTATGAAATCTGAGAGATACTGCCTCAGGGCAGACTGATCCCAACGCTGCTGCAGCAGATCCCAGTTCAACAGCAAGCCTCAGCACCCACTACAAACAGAGAAACCCTGGGCACTTTCCTGGGGGAAGATTTTCAATGACTTGGTCAGCAAGGGCCTAGGGGCTTGTTTGGATATGAAGGTTTTTGTCTTTCTGCGCTGATAAAAGCAAGACAGCCACCTCTACCAACAGCACAAATATTGCACCAGACTTTAAATAAACTACCTATGGTTGTTACGACAAGATGGAGGCAATAGAGGTTTAGTGTCATGCTGGAGCAGTCTAAAGAGAGGTAGTTGTTCACTAAACCTTTACGAGCAATAAGACTAAAGCACAGCATTACTAACTTCTAAAGCAGAGTTAAACCACCTCTGAGGCACTGAACTAATTGCACTATGAACCTATGGTGGAGGAAAAGTTCACATGAATGGCAGTGTGTCTTGACTCTGCCTGCTCCACAACAGTTGTCTGGAACAGTTTCAAAAGTAAATATGTACTTGACTTTAAAAGAAGAGTTATTTGGGCAGTATGCTAGAGGTGGGGTTTTTTTTGACATTTTTTTGTATTGCCCCATCCCTGGAAGGGGAACTGAGAAAAGAAAGGAGAACAGTGTTGCATTCCAGGAACTTTATTACAAACTTTAAAAACGCATTAAAATTAGCAGGAAAATACTTGACAAAGAGGCAAAGACATACAAATTAGCGCTACTGCATCCCATCATCCAGAAGTGCACAGACCAGACCAAGAAAAGCAAGTTTCACTGGCTACCACCTTGGTCCTGAGAAGGAGCAGCATCTCTAACAGTTTTCTTGGGAAGGAGCTGGGAAAGGATATTTGGCATAACCCCTCCCTGAGCAATGGTCACACAGGAGAAGAGCTTGTTCAGCTCATCGTCGTTTCTCACGGCCAGCTGGATGTGCCTGGGCAGGATCCTGGCTTTCCTGTTTTCCCGTGCGGCGTTCCCTGCCAGCTCCAGGATCTCCACGCTCAGGTACTCCAGCACCGCAGCCAGGTAGATGGCAGCACCAGGACCGATCCTGTCAGCATAGTTCCCTCTTTTAAGGAGCCTGTAGACACGACCCACGGGGAACTGCAGACCAGCCTTGGCTGATTTGGTTTTCTTTGGGGCAGCTCCAGGTTTGCCAGGCACTGCGTGTTTCTTTCCACGTCCAGACATTTTGATGGGTGAGGAGACACAAAGGGTTGGAGATCTTCAAATTACCCAGGTGCTTGGGCTATAACTAACTGATAGCAAGAGGAGATAACAGCAAGGTGAGTGACACTTTCTGCTCTTCCACATCAAGAAGAAAATTTTTTTCTTGAAGAGAACCACATACCACAGTTCATTAATAGCAGAGCTAAGATTTTAACTACTACCACCCTTTTACAGCCTACCTTTTAGGAGAGAGGCCTCACTGTAAAACCAGAGTGATCTGATAACCTCTCAGGAAAGGCTTATTCAACTAGATATGAAGAACCCAAAAGAAAAGAGGCTTTTCCCTGCTACTTGGAATGTATTTGGGATTGAGGCACAGGGGGTCTTAATAACATTTTCTTAAACACCATAACAGTTACCTCAAAGCTAACTTGAGGCTGATAGCATATTTCCACACATTCGGTATGGTATGTCTAAATATTTTGATGGTTTTAATATTTTGTACCAGCCGTGGAAACTGGTTTGCTGCTAGGTGACTGTAAAAGTGAGATTTGGTAAATAATTATTAGAAATCTTATAATAACACTATGACTGAAACAATAGACAGAAGTATAGCCAAGCAATTAATTAGTAATTATTTATAAGTTTTGCAGTTCTTTGCTCTTATAACTAGATGTTCCTGTACACTAGATGAGAAAATGCTGAAACTGACCACATGTGATTGAAACTGCATTAAGCTTCAAGATCAAAGAACAAGGACAGGAATAAAGACTTCAAGGACAGCCAGCAAGAACTTCAATGGGTCGGTGGTCTCAAAAGCAGCCCTTCAACTCAAATGGATCCTTCATGGCGCATGATCGGATGTAGGCAGTACTAAGATAATAAGTTGCAATCATTTTTATGTATATGTATACTAATCTGATTAATATACAATTAGTTATTCTATATAACCTGTTTGTGCTAAAGCTGTGGTATGCATGCTAGGTGGAACTATCCCTGGTGCATCCAGCTGCAATAAAGAACGCCTGCTTTCTAAAACTCCAAAACAAGTCTTAGAGAGTTTCTTCGACCGGCTTTTTGGTATCAAGGCCAAGCCTGCCTCTTCTTCCAAGAGGAATCTGCATTCTAACTTCTTCCATTATCAAGTTTGATCTTTCTTTCATTTTAAATGTAACAATTGAAAAATTCCTGCAGCTCACAGCATCTTATACCCAAAATACTCCAAGAGGTTTTCATACAAAGTTCCACATCTTTTTCCCCAAAGGATATTCTCTGGTTGCTGTGAGAATACTGGAGGTGTTCCGCACCAGGAAGAATTGACTTGGACAGCATAATGCTGACTGAAGAACAGAAACTACTGTCTATTTACTCAAGATTAAAAAAATTCAGTCCAGTTAGAATACTCTTACAATTGGAGTGGCAAAAAAACTCATTTAAATAACATTTCTAATCTATGAGTAAATAGGACAGTTGCTTCCAGCACAGCTGTTTGCAATATACACAAAAATCCATCGCTAGATTAATATGTGGGGGTTTTATATAGTTTTTATAGAGAAATTTAAATATTTTAGAAAAAACAGAATAAGTTTTGGGAGGGAGGAACAAAAAAAACCCAGCCCATAATAAAATCCAAACAAACCAAGCCATAACTCCTTATCCTTATTATTCAACAATTTTCATATTTTGATTACTCACATTACAGACATACTGTGTTATAAATGCAGCTAACTTACAAAACAAAGTCCACAATAACCCAAAATCTTTTACTATGTATTATACATGAAAAAAAATATCCCATTACCTTCAAAAGTTCTTATTTTGGTCTAGTCTGTGCTTTGCTACAGCCTGCACTCAAAGGCAAACAAGCCACATAATATCATTCCCCCTAACCCTGGGGAAGAACCTTTTTATTAGCAAGTTTTTCTCCTCATCAGTGGCTCACCTGGACAATTAATGAGTCATTGTCACATGTGGTTCATCTTCCTTCTGACCCCTGATTAGGGGGAAAAGGAGGAAACACGTTATAGATGCCCAGAAGTAAATTCTCCGGGCGGGGAGGGGAGAAGTCAGGCTGTTTCCAAGGGCTGAGCCACAGCTGTATTTCAGTCTCACTGTCACACTACCAGCTCTCATCCACTGTGGCTGGAGTATTTCTGTCTGTACACCTTGAGTAAAAACAGTCTTCTCTTTCCTGCTGAAGCTTGATAAAAAAAGTACATAGGGGAAATGTGCTTTATAAATACGATGTATTTTTAGTTGGGTGGAAGGGGGGAAACTGTGTATTGCTTTATGTGTGTCCTGGGCAGAGAGAGTTATGCTTTGTTCACATTGTGTCTGAGCCCCACCAAGTGATGTGATGTGGCTGCTCCTAAGATTTGGGCTTCTGCCCCCTCTTCTGGTAACTCTCTGTCCCAGATGGGGCTCAGGGTTTACTGTGGGAACAGAGGGGTTCTGGTGCCAAGGATCCTTAGCTAGTTCCTCTCGGTTCATCTGGGAAAAACTCTCACCTAAAGCGAATGAGTATTTTTGAGCACCTTTTAAAAAATGAGTGCACGGTCTCTGCTTGTGCTCTTTCTGTGTTTTCTGGTGTCCAAAATAGGTTCCAACCAGCAACAGACAAGAGCCATGGGTGTGAATGGTATTTCAGCCACAGAAGATGACTCTTAAACCAGCAGGTCCTCCTGAAAGCCCAGGCTCTGACAAAACATTCATACAGCAAAACTGGCACCGACAGTTAAGCCTTCGGATCTACATGCTGGGTACTAACTGCAGGTCAGAGCCAAAAGACTTTGGAGTGCCTGCAGAAGACTCCAAAACTGCAATCCTGAAAACTTTAGCTCACATGCTGCCCTGCCGGCAGGCTCCGTAGCCCTTTACTTTCTGATTTAAAGTTCTCACATCATCTATATTTGTGGCTCCATCTATCACTCAGACAGCTACTCTTCCCACAAAGATGATCATTTAGTCCAAGCTGGATGAGGCTGAGTCTTCTTCCACCTCAGGGCCCTGGGAGAG